AAATTGATAACTTTTCTATCAAGTAGATGGTTTTGTTACATGAAATATGATCACTAGTACTGTAGAGGTTCTGTAGTCTAGACACACAGTTCTAACAAAAACAATATAGATATTAGACTCCAATATACAGAAATACATTGAGAAGTAATACATCAATTCATATGAATTTCGCTGAGATTTGAAATGTTGTTCAATCTTTCTCATGAGAGTAAGCTGTTTTCTAAATGTTTGGGTTTTTTTTGTGGTAATTTTTACTTTTTAATAACATTGCTAAACTGTAACCTTCATGTTTTTCTTAAATACTAACTTTTTTATATAATCTATATCAAGTCACATTTCAGATGTACTGTAATGAAAATTGAATAAAACTGCTGAGCAATTATTTTGATCCTTTATGCCAGAAGTTTGGTAAAGACCGAAAACTCTCCTTTCAGAGCAGAACGACTTTTCATGGCCTGTAAACAGTAGCAAAGTGGTGAGGATTCTCTATTCTAAGGCCTGTATACAGTAGAAAGTTAATGGGACCCTATACCTTAAGGGCTAACTTCAAATACTAAAGAGCAAGTATTATTAATTAAAATACTACTTAGCTTCAAATCGTTCTACTTTCAAATTCTACTACATCAAATAATATCACTTCCTATACTGTACTAGTTCAAATACTTGCTGTACAAAGCAAAAAAATCAAAACGCATTTCATATGCACATACAACATCTGAAACAAAACAACCTTCAAAAGCTTCAAAAGCAACACTTTAAAACAACTATCATCAAACACTGTTCAAATAACACTTTTTTCTGAAAATGTTACTTTTTCTAAATATTTCGTACAACTCATATATCAACTTAAAGTATGGTTTCAACTTAATACATGGATTGTATATATCTATTCCCATAAATTCCACCATTTCATCCAATCTTAAGAACCCCCCATTTTTGGCTTTTCAAATAGACTGGTCCTATCAAATAATAGACTTTTTCATTAGCAAGAAAAAATCATTACCACTGAAACAAGGAACATTTTATTTCTATTTTACATCAATATCAAATGTTTTTAATATATCAGTTCTTCCAAAACCATGTATGTTTAACAAAAATTAAAATAGCTCCAACAAATAATTAATAATAGCTTGAGATTCTACTTTACCGCTTTATCACAACCTAGTTCGTAGGTCGTCTCAAAGTGGTTCACAAATGATTATCTGTGGTTATCGGGCCTTTGCAACCAGCCAATATCTTTCTCAACTCCCTTTGGAGCATACAGCCAGTGCTGCCATTTCAGCGCTCACAGCTAGCATTCAACAATTCTAGCACTGCCCAACCACATACTCATTTACAGCTGAGTAGACAACACAGTGCCGTGACATTACTCGAACCCGCAACCCTTCGGTCACCACCCCGGCGTCCTACCACTAGACTACCGTGACTCCTACAGACATACTCAACATAGATATTATTGTTGTAATAACAAATTGTTATATAGAAGAATATTACTTTTTAAATCCTTTGTTTAATAAATGAATCTGTTATTTTTTATAAATAATTATTATTGGAAATAAGCATATTTCATAATAATTTAGTAAGATGTTGAGCTGTTAAAGATAATAAGAACAAAATTTATAATTTAATAACTCTCATAACAATTTAGATTATAATGATACAAAAATGTAAATCATTCCCGTACTTGTGTGACGATATTAGGGAGCAATCCTAAAAATAACACAACTTCTTAATCTGTAAACAAACGGCAGCCTAACCTTAACTCATTCATCCCTGGACATTAACAGTAGACTGTGCAATTTATAGATCTGGAACAGTCTTAGTGTGACTTTAGGGGTCAATGGATTAAACCTCTAACTATCATTAACAAACAGTGGCTCTAACCAGGCTTTTAACTACTGTGTATAAACGTCTGCTCTAACCAGGCTTTTAACTACTGTATCGCAGTCCTAATCTAACTTGACAATTTGTTTACACAAATGGTGGTCTGGACACGTCTTTTAGATATTGTTCATGGCAGCCCTAATAAAACTTTTTACATATAAACAATGCTGGTAATATCAAAAATTAATATTGCACCTTTAAATAACAAATAAAATGAGATGATAGCACTGATTAGTGTTACTGTATGATTCACACAATAACCATGCATTAATTTTCAATAAAATAACAGTAAAATTCCTCATCTGTGAGAAGGAAAGTTTACAAGGTGATCTGCCTTGAAAGTGACCCTGAATGATGAACACCCTTTGTCCTTCAGACCTTCATCTTCAAGGTCAAATGTGTAAATTTTAATGTAAATTCAACCTGTTTATTTAAAACTATGCATATGCAGAATAAGACATATACAATGTCACCTGTCTAAATTGGACCCTGAATAATCCAAACCCTGTGTAAATAAGACTTGTCCTTGCTGGTTGCAATGTATAAGAGAACCTGTGTTATGAAACACCTGTCTTTTCCGAACAAAACATTTGGTCCACATGATGTTTATTTTAAGGATCTTCGTACCACTGCCAAAAACTGTAACTAAATACTGGAGACTATGTTCAGAATGACCTTTGGCTTTGATAAATCATTTCTGAAATAAAAACCTTACCTTGCGGGACTTTCATGAAAAAATAATACAGATGAAATAAACAAAATATAATCAACAACAGCGCTCCGAGTGACTACAATTGGCGCAGCTAGACGGGGACTTGAACCCTGCACATGGGTACATCACCCCTGACATTATATAATGAACTATTCCAACCATTGAATTGGAAGAGTTCAAATGTGTCTTCAGGGGTAAATGATACGTAAAGTTACTTGTAAACATATTTTCTCAACTAGATAAGTTCAGAACTCTTGTGTGGTGTAACATATTAAACTACATCACAGATTAGGTTAAATTGGTTCTGTTGCTGATTTTATCACTAAACCTGTATGCTCGATTAAGCTTTGGATTAGGGATCAATATATTGTGATATTAATTACATCACTGTTTATCTGATTGTCGCCATTCACATTTCGAAAGAGGGTACAGTATATTGTCAGAACTTGTGCCCAATCTATCTGTTCGATTGTTTATTCAATAAAATATGTTTGAATAAATCATTTCAATATTCCTCTCATGCTTCCCACATATTTGGTAAGTTATCATGTCATCTTAATAGGTTTTTATTATATATACGATGATTTGTAACTATGATACTGATGGAGTCTGACACTATTTTCATCCCATAATCCCTGCATTATAGCTTATAGTGCCCACGTAATCTTTGATCTAATTACGATATTCCACATCAATTTTGATGGCTGATATATCTAGTTTCAGTTGTAATGTGATAACAGATAATTCCATAACTTTTTAGTAAACATTTCAGGGGTTCTAATCCTTAGCATCATAACCGAGATCAAGCTAGTTTCATCAGGTTGAATTGCATGTGAAGGAATAAGATATTCACTTTATTATTATTTTCATAACAATGTGAAATAATAATAACTTTTTTTCAGAATTAAGTAGTGTAGAAAAAAAAGTTTGTCTTTCTTGATAAATTTATAACGTCATTCATTCACTGTTACAACTGGCATCAACTGAGTGTCTGTGTCAGTCATAACACAGGTAACAGCAAGGAAATGTACCTGATGATGTCATAACACAGGTAACATCAAGGAAGTGTACCTGATGATGTCATTACACCGGTAACATCAAGGAAATGTACCTGATGATGTCATTACACAGATAACATCAAGGAAATGTACCTGATGATGTCATTACACTGAATTATAGTCAGCACATACTAATATAAAATAACAAATTAACCTATAAGGCTAAGTTTGTTTTGAACACAAACAGGAATTGAAAACTTAGTTTGCGAGCTTTCGAATCGTCTGTTTCCTTTGTACTGTAGACCCCATTTTAACCTCCACTAAGGGGTAGAATGGGTAAACATGTTACCTGTCCCCCTGACTGTCTGCAGTATTAAAGTGCTATCGGCCGAAATGTCTCTATGATTTTTGACAGCTGACAACGATTTAGGGTCGAGACACCGGTCATGTGCAATCTTTGCTTGACAAAGGAAACAGACGATTTGAAAGCTCGCAAAATAAGTTTTCAATTCCTGTTTGTGTTCAAAATAAACTTAGCCTTTATTATTCTTACCAAACTTATCATGAATCTTATTCCGAAATGGATTGAAATGTCAAACTGTACGTTCCATCTATTATTCTCCAAGCTTTTTAAACTGGGGACTGGAATGTCATCTCCAATGACATTTAGTTTTCTTTGAAGCATTTTGTTTTCATCCTTTGTGAGATCTATGAAATCTATCCAGCAGGTTTTTTTCAGTTCGTAAGCTACAACTTATACACGTGATTTGTGTTATAAGTGATGTTTTAATAATCATTCAGAATAGATGTATAATGTCTTTGAAATATTTACCTTGAATGAGTTACCCTGGTTACGATATATATATCTACTGTACCAATTAGTAGTCTATACCCATGTAAACATTTTTGTCTATACTCTCGTATCTACCTCTATTCTGTAATCTAATCTTATTCAGTTTTATATCATTTAAAACTAACATAAGTTCCAAACAAAAAAAGAAAACCTTGGATGTGAGCTGCTTAAATCATTCACCCCTGAAGACACATATGAATTCTTCCAATTCAAAGGTGAGAATAGTTCATTATGAAATTTCAGGGGTGAATGAGTTAATAAATAATTCCACTTACCTGATACGAAGACCAGTTTACGAAAGGTTATTTAAACTGGAATACAACAAAAATGTAAAACATCCATAACCATGCAAAACATACCGTGATAAGTCTATTGTAAGTTTTTATAAGTCTTTCAACCATATTTAAGCATCAGCTAGACAGCCTTATAGAGTATACATGTCGCAGCGTGCTAGTGTTCTCCCTGTTCTCCGACAGTTGATCCAAGGGAGATAACTCCAGCAAATACAGCTCCCTGGTGAATATATTTCAGCAGAACACTCCCTGTGGGTCAGCCATTGAACAAAGCTTTAGGCAACTTTTGTTACTTGCTCGTCTGACAGCAACTTCCAACACAGCAAATATAATTTGCTCCTCCATGTGACAAACAACACACAAATGCCACACGTTTGTTATCACAGCCTGTGTTGCTAAGGTCATTGCTGCCTCTTGACCTCTTCATCATCACTCTATGACCTTCACCAAGGTCACAAGGACACAATTAATGTCACCGATCCGTAGCGGAATGTGATGGAAAAGTCTGAGTTGCAGAACTTTCACTTGATTTTGGAAATTCTAATTCTTCTAATATCTGAAAAAAAAAAAAAATAGGAAATGAAATATCATTTATTTTGGTTTGAAAGTAAAATTTACATGAACATGATCTTACATTTACCAAAAAAATTGTCTTAAAAAAAATGATCAAGTATGATGTTACAGAGTACCAAGGGTTAAGTTTGCACTTTGCACTTTGCAGAATGACAATACTATGGTCAGTGTACTTTTGACCTATATAGTCAGCTGATAACATATAACTGTGTTTGAATTTTTTTTTACAATTACGAATGTTATGTGATAAATAGAATGCTTGTGTCATATCAAATGATTGTTAAATGAATTCAATATGACGTGGACACCCATGTAAGATTCTCTATCTAGCAATGCCCTTTTCACCAAGCTGATGATAACAGGAACTCAGTTCCTCAGGTATATCGATCCCAACTCTACCTTGATAAGGCTGTCTAATCCTGATAGGTAGCCATCTTCGTGGTTGCCTAGCACCCATGGTTTTCTGTGGGTCAACGTAATGCCCTCTTCTACTGCAACAGCCTTTGAAAAATCTATCATCCATACGCCTGTATGTCCTTCATCGTCATACATCACCAACAAAGAACTGCCAATCATCTGTGACACAACAACATACAGCAACCAATTATAGTTTAGGACTTTGGTTACCAATTGGATTTATTGTTCTTTGGGAAATGAAATATCAAAATATGAGTTAACTTTTTTTCTTTTTTTTGATAATTTCAAACTTAAAAAAAAGATACGGAGCAAATGAGTGATTTGTGGTTAACTCATTCACCCCTACATATCTAACCTGGACTTGCCGAGTCATTGATTTGGTAAGGTTCAAACCTTAGGGGTGAATGAGTTAAGTGTGGGAATCAGGTGTTCATTTCTTTGAAATATAAGTAAACAAAAGAAGGATTTAACATCTAGCTTTACTAAGTCCCTCATAACTAACAATGGTCTTTCACGACTAAAAAGGTTTCAAAACTAATTACGAAGGTCCCTTGTGACAAATATGTTGCCTGTAAAAACCAGTGTTGTCCTTACCTCGTGTGACATCAGGAATGACGACCTCTCAAACTTCTTCCGTATAGACCTCAGTTTTTCACATATCCCACACAAGGCTTTCTCATTGTTCCTTAGGTACTTTGCCAGCAGACGCAAATTCTAAAGAAGGAAAAAACATTGATGTAATTTAACATTAACTGCCTTTGACCGCCAATAAGAATAGGACAACTCTTCAATATAATCACTGCATGCTATATTTAGGGGAAAATCCTGCTGTATTTTGAAATTTGTGGTGGTATATCATGATGATACTGTCGCAAATAGAGTTTTACTGGCAACAAAATGCAGTAAAATTAATATTTGCAACAGTATAATGATGTCATTTCAAAATACAGCAGGACTATCCATTTTTAATTCATAATTAGCTAAAACCACCAACAGAAACAACGATTTTAAGATATTTGTTTTAGTTTTCCTCAAACCTTGGTCCTTCTTTCATGGATTGATGAAGTCAGGAATATTCAAAGTGAGGCAGAATTACATAGCATTTTTATCAAAAACTGTTTTATTGCAAAAAACTTTTTAATTATTGAATTGAAGCACTTCTTCCAACACCATCTGGAAACAGAAGCTGTTGGAGAACAGCATAGCTTGCCTGTTGGTGATATATGTTGTAAGATAGCAAATATCAATAGAAACACATGTACAGTAAAACCTTGATAAAATGCCTGTTATTTCATTTGCTACCTCACTTACTGCAAACATATTTCAGGTCCCTTAATTATGTTTTTCTTAATAATTCCTTATATGTTCCCCTCAGTTTATCGCCAAACCCCTTTATAATGCCAACATTTCTCTGAACAAATGATGGCAATATAACAAGGTTTTGCTATAACTTAAAATGTAAGAAGAGATGACCAGCCAACGTGAAATAGTCAACAGCTTACTGATGGTGGTGACCGATTCAACATTGCACAAAAAAACTTGCCCAAAAACTGTAACTTAGTCCAATAAAGCTGTTTTTGGCCCCTAAAATATGAAAATATGGTCCAGAACATTGCTAACACCCCATATAAATGCTTAAACCTCATAATAGACAACTGTGTATTTAGTGTGATGATCAAACACTGTCAGGAAAAAACTTGCCCAAAAACTTTAACCCTAAGAAGGTGGGAAGCCGACGCCGACGCAGGGGTGATTACATTAACTAGCCCCCCATTCTCCGAATAGGCGAGCTAATTATATTTCAACTGTAAAAAGTCTCATAAAGAACTGTACATTGATACAGACTCCCTTTGATTTCAACCAACCTGCTGTTTTGTTTTCACTTTCTTGAGATTAGTCTCGGGAGATTCACCTGCAAGCTACAAAATAAAAAATTATCAATTAACAGCAGCCTGTTGAACTCTGTCGATATTTAAATAAATGCCTTAACCTCATAAAAGACAACTGTGTATTTAGTTTGAAAAAAATATTTAACAGCAGCCTGGTGAACTCTGTCGATATTTAAATAAACAGCAATGTTCCTCTTACAGGTCAATAAAATATAAAGTCAAGCAGCTGGTTGCTTACAAGGTAAATTTAAAACAAAAAAAATACTAATAAAATAGTGCGTTCAGTATTTTCCCCCCATTTCGAAATTAATAAAAGCAGCTGTTGACATGTTTATTTTATTCATGTAGATGTTGTAAAATCTATCTTACCCGCAATGCTTCAATTCTAAATCCAAACTCTGCTGTAGAACTCTCCTGCTCCCGAAACTGAAAGCAAAACAGGTTTTTTTTTTGCAAATTATGAACTGTTTCTGACCGATTGGCAAATGACAAATGACACAAACCGTTTCTGACCAAATGACACAAACCGTTTCTGACCAAATGACACAAACTGTTTCTGACCAAATGATACAATCATGCCCTGATTTCCTGCAAAACATATAGCTTCAGAATTGAACAATCTTCTTTTCGCATGCATTTTCTATTTATTACTGAATTCACTTCAAATTTGATATTGATATGGACAGTCCACATTTCTTCCTTGCATACGTATACTTTCATAAGAAATGAACATGAAAGTTTTAATTATAGTAAAACCTTAACACCTGTGCAAAACCTTAGGCTTTGAATATTAATTTATTCTTGATTTATGAAAACATTCTTTTTTTTTTTAAATATTTTATCATAAATTTGAATAAACAGTATATTAACAAAAAATATGTAAAATTCAATCAGTATGATATTGTTTATATCATTTTGAAGTTCAGTAATAAAATCTAACATTTGGAAAAGTTCAGTTTCACTTTAAGGTTGTATTACAAAATCAATGCCAGGATCGACTAGGATACTTATTCATCAGATCCAATTACATCAAACCTTTGTCACGAAGACGTCACGTTTACAGATGACAAAAGGTTACTCGTATACGTGTCGTAACAAATATCACGTCTTTGTGTCTCATACAGATTTAAGAACTTTCAATAAAAGATTAATCTGACAGATCAGAACAGATGGTTTCTTTTCTTGCTTTATCTAATTGCTATAGAAACTGTAGCTTTTATGATAATTAAATCCTAATACTTGCATGTTATTCAGCTAATTAGAATACAGAATGTCAAGTGTCAAATTATTGCATGTCCAAAGAGTGTATAGTTATGTCATTAAACCTTACCTGCATGTATCTGAGTTTCGTAATGGCCTTATTTTCCCGTTCAATCTCCGTGGGAGCGTTTGGGTCGAGTCCAACCATTTTCTCGTACAGATCTTTACGCTGCACCGGGTTCTTCACCTCCGACTCCAGGAACGTTCTGTGGACACACAAACACAGGTTCTATGTAAAACCTTCTTAAATGAACATCGTTATAGATCTACCATTATGTTTTGAATAGACAACTTTAAAGAGTAAACAGGTACAATAAACAAATACACCTTAAATATGTAGATTTCATGACAATCCTTCAAATTATCTATTAGAAAGATTTTTTTAAAAGAAAAATGAATAATAACATACATACATGTACAATTTAGAGTTTAAACAAGGTTCTTAAATATATGACTTTTATCAAAATAGAACATCAACAAATGAAAAAGTTTCTGTTTAACCTATTCACCCCTATGTAACTAAAGTAGACTCTACCATGCATTGATATGGATGAGTCCATTATGGTCTACAGTGGTGAAAGGGTTAAGAATGCTTAAATTTACCAAAGGGTGTAAAAATGACACACTTTGTCACCAAATTAAAAACCCTTTTCACTTTTATCATGAAATCATATAAGGTATAATATTCATGATGACCTATTGAAGACCTCATAATGGTAATATTTCACCTATAAGATATATACTGTATACCAGGTAATGTCCGGGTAACAATTAATTTTTCCCTTTTTTGGCCGTTAATTTGAGGGCAAATTTATTTTATCATTACAGCGAACATAAGTAAACAACATAATACACAAAGTAATAAAGGGCGAACTTAACACTGGGCAAATATATATACACAAAGTAATAAAGGGCGAACTTAACACTGGGCAAATATGTATACACAAAGTAATAAAGGGCAAACTTAACACTGGGCAAATAGGGATTATTCTTGCGAAGGGCGAAAGTTCGACTGGGCGAAAAATAATCCAGTATACAGTATATGAACACAAAACGGATTTGGTGGAGTTTTCACACTGAATATAATACCTGATCAATATTTAATCGCTAATTTAAAGTTAACTTACCTTTTGCCAATCTTGATGTCCATGATGTTTGGGTTGGTGAAATGCTGGAGAAGATCCTCCATTTCTATAAAGACTGATGTCAGGTTAAGGTTCAATAATAAAATCTTTGTCGTTAGAACAAAATGGTTCCATGGTTACTGGTAATTTTACACAGCAGTAGTTACTCAACACTGCATTAATGGTGATAAAACCATGGTAATCATATCTCCATGGTGATGGTGATATCACCATAGTGACCTCATCTTCATGGTGATGGTGATATCACCATAGTGACCTCATCTCCATGGTGATGGTGATATCATTATAGTGACATCATCTCCATGGTGATGGTGATATCACCATAGTGACCTCATCTCCATGGTGATTTTGGTAGCACCATTTATTACCATGGATACCTTATGATTGATGGTGAAGATGTATTCATAGGGTGATATGACATTGTATTACTACGGTGATTATGGTAATTAACCTGGGAGTGACTTATCATGTTTCAGTGGTGGTATCATGACGGTAAAAAGGATACACTCTGAGTTGTACTCCACTTCACGGTAGTAGATCGGGACTATGTCACGAGCTGTATCCTCCATCAGGCTCTCGTAGGCCTTTGTCTCCGTGTTGTCTTTTGTGATCCGACGTTTCCAAATTGTGTTGGGGCCTGCCGGTGCAAATGACCCTGAAGAGGTACCAATGGGGTAAATAGTGGTTATTTACATGTTAAATACATTATGAGTACAGCAATACAATGGTATACTGTATTTATCCTACTCTAATTAAGCCAAGGGGGGCCAACACATAATTTCTCACACAAAGTAGAGGGTGGGCTAATAACAATGAAACTGCACTTGTTTGAAATTCTACTGAACTACAATAGATATGGGTGGGCATATTACCAGATAGAAATGGTATTCTTTATTCAAATACCATGTTGCCAATATAAATTTTTGCTAGTGCATCACCCAATTTTCTGCATATTCATATACAGTTTGTCATTTTATCAATAAATGGCTTGTGTTTATATACAGTAATGCCCCCTACAGAGACTATCTAGAGATAGGTATAGAGGGGTCAAAATGTATCCTCAGGTAAGCAAAACTTTGTAGAGTTCCAAATATGAAAAATATGTATTTTTGGCAGTGGTTAGCAAGCCCTTCAAAAAACCCTCTTGATCTGCCATCGTTTCTATACATTGGCAAACCGTCTAGGTGATGTAAATATAACTATACCTGGATGGCCAGCCAGTTGTATCCAGGCATTCTTCCTGTTCTTCAGTAAGGCATCACTGGCTGGTGCTGTCAGATCTAGGGCAGTCTGTAAGTTACAAAATAACATACTAAATAATTTGTTATTGGCATTCTCCACAGGCCATTTTAGCGCTACGGTACGGTTACGCTTTATTACTACGTAAGATTATATTTAGAAACAGCATTGTTGTTATTTTTTTTTATATTTTTTTGTTTGCTGAATGATAACAGGTATCTTGGCCCTAGGGCGTTAATTTCATAACTAAGGGATTTAAAAAAAAAAAAACATTGATTTAAAAATTAATTAAATACTTGTCCAAATAAATACCTTTGGTTGGAAATATCATTATAATTTATTTATTCTCATGACATATATTCATTTATTTCTATGATGATATTTTTCAGGAAAAAATGCTTTAGTGTTTGCTAAAATTATCCATTTTCTTGAGTCAGACTATTTTATTTGTAGTTGTTAAAAAAATAATGATAAAAAAAAGAATAGGGCAAGAAAATGAGCAATAATATAATGCAATGTCAGGATGATGAGTAATGCTATTTATTTAAAATTAAATACATCAACTATAACTTTTGTTTTGAGTTTCCTTTCTCAAAGTGGTGTCGCGCACGATAGATGGGTTGCGATGCGGTAATGGTCGACACTCGGTGCCGCGCTGTGATGGAAGGGTTGAAGAATACCATAGAGCATCAAAAAAAATCTGGGTAGAACACTGTTCTTTGTTTGTTTGTGTTTTACATCCTATTAATAGCTATGGTCATTTAAGGACGTGCCAGGTTTTGGTGGTGGAGTAAAACCAGAGTACCTGGAGTAAAACCACGGACCTATGGCCAATACCTGGCGACTGCCCTACGAAAGTCTCAAACCCGCCTCCCAGTGGTGGAGGGCTAGCTAGTGGTAGCAATATGTCAGACTCCTTAACCCCTTCGCTACTGTGGCCACATACTTAACGTCACTGACCCCTGTAGTTTCATAATAAACTATTCCAACCTTTGAATTGGAAGGGTTCAAATGTGTCTTCAGGGGTGAATGAGTTAATGAGACTTCAAGTCATGGTCTATTCACTATGGAGGTACCGATACTAAATCTGCAGCATAAATACAGGTGTCATATCCATAAACAGAGTTTCCTGGAACTTCACTCACTCAGTGGAAGTGGACTGACTTATCTAACTCTCTTCACACAACATCATCATAACTGGTAATCTCTGAAAAACCTGTACCAGTGTACGCATGTGTTACCACAATCAAAGACCTTAAAAGAAATTTGCAAATTTCTCATTTTGACTTACCCCCTGTACTACCTTGGTATACGGTTCAGTATATAACCTGTATAAACTACACACTGTATAATATAACCTGGAAACTTCAATATATCAGTCTAGACCTCCAGCCATTTTGAAGGTCAAAATGTATACATTTCTACGCCTCAACCAAACCCTGAGAATCCAGCACCCGTAACAAGACATACAGCCAGGTACAGACCCCACTTACATATTATCTTCCTCAGAAATACACTTTGCCTATATAAATTCCAGGATTATTCCTTTAACATAAGTTTAAAATCACTTCACCATGGAGAAAAGTGCATTTCATAATTATCAGGTGTTTTTTTTACCATAAACTGTATCTTTAAAAATTTCAACAACTTGAAACTTCAAAATTATTATCACATCATATATATGTTTCAGCTGTGGTGATATTTAATACACTTACATTTTAATTGTTTACCTGTATTTAAATGTACTTTTATTCAGTCATTTGCGTGTGTTTAAATTGTAATTAATCTTCATGACAAAAGCCTATAAATGTCTGGAGTTCTTTCGCAGCCGAGGTTTAATATGCTTGCAAACAATAAACAATGTTTAGTCTACGTAAGTCAGTCCAATTATGTCACCCTCGAGTAACTTCATAATGGTTATAAACCGGTACCCTAGCTGTTGTGTCAAGCACTGTTAACTTTAAAGACACTGCTGAGTAAAATTTGAGTTCAGGATCCCTGTCCCACTGTTACAGACAAAAACACTAGAGAGTTACACTGTAATTTTTCTTATCTTGATTTATCTCCCCTTGCTATCTCTCAATATGTTAGCGAATTCTTTTTTGCATTTCTTGTAGTGTTCTGATTATCATTGAAATACCTGTTTTCTGCTTTATGGAATAGTGTTGACAATTGTAGATGTTTTTCATGTGTTACAAATAAAACATTGTTCCATAAAATGATAATTACATTCTATTGTATTTTTTTCTCAATTTCATTGGAAAAAAATAAAATATAGCAAGCAATCAGCTTTCCATTGAGACTGACATACATAGTATGTCCACACTACATATCATGAACTGATAGTTGTTCATGTAGTAAAAATGACAACCAACAGCCCCAAAAAGTGGTAATTAAGGTGTGTCTTTTGACTCTTCACTGCCAAAAAACTCTGTTGAGCGGTTTGTGAGACATATCCTGTACATAAGCTTTTTACTTCAAAAGTGTTCAATTAAATGTGACTTTGACCCTTTAGCCTTGACCGATGACCACTAAAATATCAGGTATCTTCTAGATGTTCAAATTATCAAACAATGGTAGAAATATGAAAAAGAATATATAGTTTAGTAAAACGTACAGCAGCACAATCAGCTAATCAACTTGTGATGACCGTAATCAAATCTTCTGTCTGTTGGTTGTTATTTTAACTACATGAACAACTTTAAGTACATTATATTAAGTGTGGTCATAGATCGAGACAGTGGTATGTCCAAAATGGAGGACATTTGTGACCAGGGGGGATACTTACAATTTAGCCTCCTCTCTACTTTTGGACATTTTTTTCACTAGGGGTGGGGCTTTTTTGTAGATAAATACAGTAATACGCGAAATACTTATTTCATGTAAACATATTTTTTTTTAATAAATTGAGGTTCTTATATACCGCTTTATCACAACCTAGTTTGTAGGTCGTCTCAAAGCGGTTCATAAATTATCATCCGTAGTTATAGGGCCTTGCAACCAGCTTAAATCTTTCTCAACTCCCTGGGGAGCATACAGCTGGTGCTGCCATTTTGGCACTCACAGCTACCATTCTACAATTCTAGCACTGCCCAACCAAGTACTCATTTACAGCTGTGTAGACTGGAACAAGCAGAGTAAAGAATATTGCTCAAGGATCCATACAACACAGTGCAGTGACATGACTCTAACCCGCAACCCTTTGGTCAGGAGCCTGACGTCCTACCGCTAGACTTACCGCGCCTCCAAACAAGAATATTACTACCAACAAAAGAATGGACAGAATATTACCACCAACAGAAGGATGGACAGAATATTACCACCAACAGAAGGATGTACAGAATATTACCACCAACAGAAGGATTGACAGAATATTACCACCAACAGAAGGATGGACAGAATATTACCACCAACAGAAGGATGGACACAAGTACAATCCCACATACAGAACACACTGACTTAAACCAACTACTATATTAACCTTTGTCTACTATAAGAGTGGGATATATGATTATAGCAAAATATACCTTCAAGCCCAAAATGGTCTGTTAAGAGTCCCAAAATTAAGTATGGATAATTCTTTAAAAATGTGACTCTAATATTATAATTAAGCTTTAAAATTATGCCAGAAAGGTTTGTAATGCATATACTAGTTACATTTTCTCGCTATGATATAAGGATCCTTAATGATACATTAACATAATCGTGTCAAATTCCTTCAATTTATGCTACATAATTATCACGTTTTGAATAAACTGGACCTCCCGTTTCATGATGTATCCTGCGCCGTATTACATTTATGTATTGGTAGTTATTTGTACAGTACTATCTGTTATATAATAACAATAGCTCAATCAGAAACGTTGAAGCATAAAAATAAAACACAATAAACTTTTACAAAATTTTATAATTTACTTCATTATTGGGATTTGCAGGTTCATCGAAATTGATGTTTTTCAATTCGTGACTTGTAAATTTCTGAACGATTACATCAACAATAGATAATATCACTTCCCTCATTGTCTAGATTACAAAAGAAAAATTTCTATTGAAAAGTTTTAAAACCGTAAAAAAACACCACCCACTTACAAAATTTAATTCACCGTGAAATCAAGTACATTTAAAAGAATATGGAATTTTATGAACTAAGATTGCACTGTAAGTGCTGTGACCCCACACAAGTGACAACATCACTTAAGGAGCGAGTTGTTGACAACACGGTGTGGGAGACACTCCACACATGTACACTTCCTGAATGATCCCACATTACATAATGTTGTGTTTACTAACACCTCTCCATGTTACATAAGTTTAAGGGTACTTAAGTAGCAGGTGAGCTTCCCCTGGATTTTAGATTCGGGGTAAACTTATGTAAATTATCAAGATTCTGTACCCAAGGGTACTTAAGTAGCAGCTGTGCTTCCCCTGGTTTTTAGATTCGGGGTGAACTTGTGTAAATTATCAGGATTCTGTCCCCAAGGGTACTTAAGCAGCAGCTGTGCTTCCCATGGATTTTTGATTCGGGGTAAACTTGTGTAAATTATCAGGATTCTGTACCCAAGGGTACTTAAGGATCCCTGTCCCTGTGCACTATGTTTTTCCCTTTATACAGTAACCTCCCATTAACTCATTCACCACTGAAATTTCATAATGAACTATTCCAACCTGTGAATTGGAAGAATTCAAATGTGGCTTCCGTGGTGAATGAATTAACTTTCATTTGGATATAAGTGTAGAACAGTTGGGTAGGACACTTATATATACTGACCAGCTAGCTCAATCGGTCAAAGGGAACAATCTGAAGTCCAGGGTTTCAAATCCTGGTCTAGCCCAGCTGAATTTTTACACTCAAAACACTATGAATGATTATATTCTGTATTTTATCTTTATTCTTTAATCTTGTAAACCGGTAAGGTCTGTGCTTTTTATTTTCAGAAATGATATATCAAAACGATATATATATAGTCATGGCAGAAAAAAATAGTTTCCAAGTTACTTTAATTAGATAGTCTTTGAGAGTGGTACGAGGATCCTTAATAATATCAAGATAG